CCCATATATATATATATATATATATATATATATTTGCAGTTTTGTGACATGATATTTGATGTAAAATGTGTAACTAACTTGGATATAAATATGATATATACAACACTTTTTATACGTGTATTAAATTGATGTACTTTGAAATGTTTATATTAAATAAAGTATTTATCACAATTAAAAATTTCTTCAGACTTCTTCATTTCTTATCCATTTTTTTCGTTAAAAAAATTATCAATCAAGTGATAAAATAAAATTGAATTTCAAAATTTAAAAGGCATTTAAACAGGAAATTCTTTTTTAAAAAAAAAACTGTCATATCATCCACCCACTCAATGAATATTCCCATTAATGCTTGACTTCGGCTACTATAGAAACTTCACACTTCGGCAACTGCGAAAAATGGTCTTGTTATAAATTTGAATTAATATTTTTAAAAAAACTATTTTTACTAGTTTTTTAGAATAATAATTAGCAACATTTAACTTCCTTCTTTGAACAAAAAGTTTTAAAAAATAAAATCTCTTAAATTTTAATTATTTTTTAATTTAAATAACAAGAAAAATTTAGTGGTAATTATTTCTCCATTTTTATTTAAATATTTATGAAATAAATACAGATAAATTAAAAAAAACTATATGAATAAGTATTATGCTTTATGTATTATAAATTTCAAAACAATTTAAAAATATGGCAAATATTTATATTTTTATGAAACTTCATTTATAAGCAATATTTATTTAATTTTTGAATAAAAAGATTTTTGTGACATTGTTTTTAAAAAAAAAAATTATTTAATTTAATTCATTTGCAAAATGTTATGTTTTCTTTTTCTTCATAAAAAAGTTATAAAACTTTATAAAGAAAAAATAGAAAGAATTTTTTTAAAAAACATTAAACTCTGTACGTGAATTTTATATAAATAAAATATGTTTTACATTTATGGTATCACGGCGTAATTTTTTTTAATTTATTTATTGTTATCAATAAAATATTTAAATGAAGACAAATTAAACTTTATATTTTAAACGGTTTCTTTTTTTTTTATATTGACTAAGATTAATATTTGAAAATATTTGTTTGTTTTTTTTTGTTTTTATGACTAGTCTTTTTTTTTATCTATATTTTTAAATTCTTCACAAAAGTAAAAGTAAAAAAATGGCTCTTTTCTTACTTTCCACTTGTGTAGTGTGATCAATAACCATTAATTTTTCTCTCGCATAGTTTGAGTTTTTATTTCTCGATTATGATACCAAGGAGGTGCATGACCCCCCACCCCAATAATTTTCCAAAGCTTCTGAATATTTTTTAAAGTTTTTACTTTTTTAAATCCCTGAACCCCAACAGCTATTTTGTAATTTCAGAGTTTAAAAGCCTTTTAACATCTAATATTTTTGATAGTTTATATATAATCGATCGAAAATATTTTATGATTACTACTTTATGTAAAGGCTATCTTAAAAGCCAATTAAAGATTTTTGCAATTCGAACTCAATGAAACAATCAATCAATTTTTCAATGAAACAAAATTTAATATTTTTTTCAGATTATAAGTATATTTTAGATTATAATTGTATTCGGCTATTTTAGTTTATTTCATGAAAAATATAATTTTCTTAGTCGTAGTTATTATTTATCAACACCTACATCAGTTATTATTTATAAAAAAGTAAAAAAAAACGTCTTTTAAAAAAATCTCTTAAAATTGCAATAACTTTCCAACAAATTAGAACTTCAAAAAGAATCGCAATAAATTTATAAGTAAATTTAAACCTTTCAGCACGTTAAATTTCACCTCTGTATTTGAGTCCAAATTTAACTACTGATAATTCTTGAACCAAACAGCCGATAATTTTTAATAACCAAGCTCTTTTTTTATTGCATCCTACTTCTCAACATTTTATACTCCCTTCGCAATTTCAATTTTCTAAGTCTTACAGTTTTTGTGCAGCAAAACTAAGTGTAACATAATGCAAAGAAAAAACTGCCACAAAAGAATTTAAAACGAATTGAAGTGATAAAAAAAAAGTTTTTTTAAGTTCATAACCAAAACTGATCCTTTTAGAATAACAAGTTTCAACTCTGTAACCCTACAATTCCATTTCCGCTGCCTGCAGAGTAACGTGCATGATATTTTTTGCTACGAGTTCAGCAGTGCATAAATCTCGAACAAATTTTTTTATTTTTTTTTATTTTTTTATTTCATGGTTATTCATATGCAATTTTCAACAAATACCTTCATAACTTAAAGTTTCTTAGCAAAATCAGAGGCGGTAAAGTTTCTCATACCTTTTCTATATAGAAAAAGTTTCGTTTATGGCAGCAAACAACTTTGGAATGTCTTAAGCTCGAAGCATATATTCTGATTCATTATAAACATAAATGTCTGTGTAAATGTTGCGAGATTTCCATTTCATACAAAATATATTTTTTTCACTACTTAATTTTAATGAAACGTATGTTTTATTTTTTTTATTCACTTTTTTTTTTACATATTTTTGGCCATTAGAATGTGCTCTAAGCTATTTTGCTTCCATATCAAACAATTTTTGAAAATTCAGAAGATCAGATTTGAAAAAAAAAAAAGGAATAACAGTGGAAGACGACTGCACATAGTTTCATTCTACATTTACCCTTAGAAAGGCTACTGTCCTTCAAATATTTCTCTCACGCTTCGCCCATGCACAAGGCACGTTTTTCTGATAACCGCTTTTAGCATTTATAGCCTCCTAAATTAACACGTTTCTTCCTAGCTCGAATTTCAACACATCTGTAATGTTTTTTTTCTCAGAAAATCATCAAACAACGAATTTTCAACAAGTAACTATTAACGCTTTAATGACCTGTGACGCGTCTGGTTATCGGGTAGATTTTGTTTCGTGAATCAGGTTATTGGATTCAATCCTTTTACAGTTCCTGCAAACTGATTTGATTGAAAATTATAACTTTTAATTTTAACATTCCAGTTCAGTTACGGAATTTTTTTTTATTTTCCGCTTTCTTCTCAATTTGTCGAAAAAATTTAGGAACTGTGTCAAAAGAAATTAGAAGAGTTTAAGATTATATATTTGAAAATTTTCTTTCAGACAAAATAGAAACTTTTTATAATTTAGTATGAGAAATCAAAGTTAGCAACAGAAGAAGTGAATATACAAATTTAACAGAAATCCAACTTGTTCTTAATGGTGATAAATATTATTTAAAATACACAACAAAAACATATTTCTTCCTTGTAAAATATAATGCTGATAAAGAAAAAAAAGGCGGGACGGGGAATGTGGTAAGCTGCCAAGCTCTTTATTCTTTACTTATAAAAAAATAACAAATCATCATATCATGTTTTGCTCTATTTAACAAATAAGCGTAAGTTAAACATCAATATCAATAAATCACAAATTAAACACTGCAAAAATTTCGCAAAAATTTTTAAAATCGAGGCACAGCAAGCAGCAAAGGAAAAAAGCGCCACCTGCATTTTAGAACAATGTTTTGTGCTTGTAGCTTATATAGATCAAATAAAGATATATTTATTATTAAAGGTTACAAGGATGCCTTTAAAGATCTTTTTATCTGACAAATTTTGCATTTGTTTATTATTTTCTTAATCGCCGCAACTTGAAAGCCGTTTTATAGCTTTCAAAAGATGTTCTATCATGTAATAAACTTTTCTAAATGTTTAAATTTATTTTATTGAATGTATATCTTTTAATATACTGTTTACTCTTCCAGTCTTTTATCATTTTTAGTTTATAATTGCATTTTAGGTTGGTTATAAATGGTCTCATGGAAGGCTGTTTTCTTACAACGAAAATATAACCTAACTTATTATCTGCCGAAACCTGTTAATATGTTTAATCCTTTATAGATAAGCATTTTTATGTCTCTTGTTGTATGTTTCGTAATATGTTATTGGGAAGGTTTCCATACCATGATCGGCAGAATAATCGCCAACTCTTGCAACTTCCATGCTGCGGCCTGCAAGAAACTTAAAAAACATTACAGAAGAGGACCAACTTCAGAGATATAACTCACAGCTTCCCCAGGGAAAACCTATACATGTTGTTTTTTTTAAGAAAAAAATTGCAAGTTTAAAACCCATTTGTCTGATGTCTGTTATAGTTAGTGAAACAGGATCATGATATGGATCATTTGATGGGATTACAAGCTTATTAATGAATATGCCAAATAATGATGCATTTTTGAATTTAGAATAATTCTTAATAGAAAATTATCAGTGATATACATATATATAACTTACTGTGGATAATAAACATCATACTAATGATTTGTTAGACAGCTAAAACTGTTTATTGGTGCTGTTTATTTTATTGCCGAAATACTTGCAATGATGCTTTTCATGTTTTTATAATAAATAATTTTTAAAAAAATGTTAATGCTAATTTTGTTTACGTTTTAGTTACTTTGTAAGTTGATTTTTAAAGAAAGATTTTCGTATTGCAAATTACGACAGAAATACTGAAGTTCCGTTAACTTTCGGGTGCTTAGCCGCAAAAACTAAAATTTAAAAAAAACAATTACAGAAGGTGACCAATTAAAAGGGTTAAAATTGCAGCTGCCCTGGGCAAATTACAATACATTTGTTTTTAGAATTTTACAAGCTGATGCCTTAGTCGTGCCTAGTAGGTAATTATTTCAAAATATCCCCATTTTCTTTTTTAATATTGTATAAGGAATCAAATTTAAACGCATTTTTCTATTTTTATTTACCTTGTATTTGAAATTTAATTTCAAAAACATTGATATTTATAAGACAATGCTTTATTTATTTACAATTATAGTGTTAGTCTGACTGTTAAGGTCACTGAATATTGACTCAATATTGAACTCAGGTACTGAATATTGACTCAATAAATTCTACCACTAGAATAATAACTTGTTGAAAGAATAATTTAAAAGTGTTATTTCTTTTTTTTAAAAAAATCATATTTATTTTCTTAAAGACATTTTTTAAATTTCTATTGTTAATACCTTTCATGTTTCAAAATTTTAGATTTCCTTAGAACATGAAATTCTTCTCCATCCCCGTTATTTTGGACCTCAACTTTTGGAAACAGTGAAGCAGAAACTTTTTACTGAAGTTGAAGGAACGTGCACAGGAAAGTATGAAGCTTACAAATGTCATTTCTATTAAGTGTTAGCAACATTAAGGAATGTATTATTGCAAATGTCAAAAGAATTTTAAAAAATTTATGCATTTTTCGTGCTTATAAACTTACTGCTGTTGTTTTATTGGTGCATCACTTTTAAATTCTAACTGTCTAAACTAATTTTATTACAGTTGTGGAAAAATTTTACTTATGTTTTAATTGTAGACAGGGGTTTTTTTCCTTTTATTAAGTTTATATAAATTTTTTCCTGATTTATTTACATTTAAATGTTGTAGTTTATATTTATTTAGTACATCACTGACAAAATGTTAAAAATTTGAATAGAAAACTTCAATCTATGAGCAAAACTCCTACCTTCATATCTACATTTTTCCTGTAAATTATCAAAAAGGCCAAGAATCTCTCATGTTCCTTCTCCCTGTATCATTATGACTTACAAATAATCGAGGTGCCTTTGTAAATTGCAGTTTTGTAATTGAGTTTTATTTTGGCAAATTTGCACTTCCAATGTTTCAATTTATTCAATTAATTTGTGTTCAGAGTTTCTGATTTTTTTTTCTTGAAAAAAAATGTGGTTTACTTGATTTGAATCAGATTTTTTTTTCAATTAATATTAGATTTCTTAAAAGATACTTCAGTTTTAATGCATTTAATTTTATAAATATTATCATTGAAATATAATTAAAAGAAAATCATACATTTAAACTTAAATTATTGCCTTAAAACTTGTTTAATGTCTGTCTTAAAAATTGCCAAATGTATAAATTGTATTTATTAGAAAATTAGCAATGGACAAGATGGACAAATTAATATTATTATTTGAACCTATAAATTAACAATTTAAATTACATTTTAATAATTATATTTATAATTTTATATTTTAAACTATTTGTATCAGTTATGTGAAAGCTGATTTTTTTTTTAATGGTTATGTATATCATTGTAATAATGTTAATTTTTACTATGTATAGACATGGTTTTGTCATTGCGGTCACTACAATTGATAACATAGGAGCAGGCTTTATCCAACCAGGACGTGGTTTCGTGGTTTATCCAGTCAAATACAAAGCTATTGTTTTTCGCCCTTTTAAAGGAGAAGTTCTTGATGCTGTTGTAACTCAAGTGAATAAGGTATGATTTAAAGAGAAAAAATCTTTTGAATGAAATGTATTTATTTTTACAAAAATTAATGTTATTTCTACTGTTAAATAGGTTGGACTTTTTACTGAAATTGGACCATTATCTTGTTTTATATCCAGACATGTAAGTTAGTTTTTCTTTTATATAGAAAAGTGTTTACAATTTTCATGTTTCTAATTGATTGGATGTATTACACAGAAACTGTCTTGAAAAGGTGTTGTCATCATAGAATTACAATTTTCTTACTAACCATTCAAGGTATATTACAACTTTAATATGTTCTCCTAGAAAATTGTCAAAAATAAACTGTGGAATTCATGAAAAACATTTGAATATTTAAATTTTGACAAAAAATTTTTGTTATACAGTCAAACCTTGTTGATGTGAACATGCTTACCGTGAATTTCTTTTAACATGAGCTGATTTTCCACTACTTTTGGTCCTCTGTTCAATATAGGTAGTCATTTCTCCCACAGTCTCATAGGTTGTTCTAAGAAATTGATATGACTGATTTGTTTTTCTATAGGGGAAGACATGTGGAACTAAAAATTTTATTAAATTTCGCTAGTGAATACTTTAGTTTACTTTCCTATGTTGGATGCTTACAAAGCAATTAAAACTGTTTGTTCTTTTGTAATGCAAAATGAAAATGTGAATGATTTTTTTGGATACAGTTGATAAGTTAGAGGTTGTTTGGAAAACATGTGCTAATGTTAGTAACCCTGTCTAATTTGAGCAATCAATCAGTTAAGTCCTATTAGTAATTTTTCAGTAATTTTTTATTTGCTTCTATACAATTTTAAATATATATACAAAACACCAAAAAGTGCACTTTTTAAATTTAGTGTGAACTATAATATTTATTTCTTCCTTTATAAGTTTAATTTATTTTTTATAAAGTAACTGTCTGTACTTATGCATAGAAGTTATTGTTTGATATGAAGTGCAAAGTAAGAACATTTATTGAAATGAAATTTTTATTAATTTACATTTCAAACTGGAAATTTAAGGTAAGAAAACGCACATAGACAACATATATAGATAATAGAAATCGTCTACATATTGACGAATATTGATCTTTATTTTTAAAAAGATTCTGTACTGATAACATGAACTACTTTTAACATTAAAAAAATTTCTGTCCAAGTAGACATTTACAAGGTTTGACTATATATTGAACATACTGGGGCTTTTTATAATTGTTTCGAACCTTTAAATTTTTTTAAACTGTTGCTTTAAACTTTTTATATTTAACTAAAATTGCTACATAACTTACCTTAAATGAGTTTAAACTTGTTTTTCTTATTAGCTGCAACATTAGCATTGGAGCTAGCTTGAAGCTCTCACAGTTCTGTGAGCAACGGCATGCTTGTGACAATGTTGCCAGCATTGCGCACAAGTAACTTATACTTCCTAGACAAGCTGGTTCACATCTATTTGAAACTGCTTAGGCTTCAAGCCACCTCAAAGAATTTAACCCCAGACCTTCACAATGGCAGCTCAGTTACTATAACCACTGAGCCATCACAACTTGCATGCTGTGTCTCTGTTAGGTTTTTATAGTTTTTTTCTTCATTTTGTCTTTCTGCTCGGGATTTTAATTACCATTTATTCTAAAAGTATAAAATTGTTTAATTGTTTTTAAAAAATTAGTGTGGTGGATTTTTATCTAATAAAATTTGGATCTTTGAGCTATTAAAATTTTATTTCATAACATTATTGAAATGTGTAAATTTAATTCGTATGATCCTGTTATATACTTATTAAATTAATTTCAGTCTATACCATCTGATATGCAGTTTGATCCAAATTCAAACCCTCCTTGTTATCGTACAGATGATGAGGTAAATATATTTCTTTTTACTCAAATATTATTAACATAAAAACACTGAAAAATATTTTTTTAACTTGATAATCTGAGTAAGAACTGTAAATAATCTTTGTAAAAATGTTGATTGATATTCCCTTAGGAAGTTGTAATTCAGCAAGATGATGAGATACGGCTAAAAATTGTTGGCACGCGAGTTGATGCCACTGATATTGTAAGTTTTATTTTGTTATGGACTTCTTTTTATGCTCTTTAATGCACTTTTTTCACAATAAGTGTATTGCTTATTTAGCTTTTAATTATCTGTACTATGGATTTCTAATTTTAATTTTGTTTCTCTGAAGCAATTGCCTTTAACACTGAACTATTTAAAAAAGACAAAACTTATTTTTGTTTAAAATTATAATTAAATGTTTTGGTTTTTAAATATATTTTCCAGTCAGTAGCTCTTAAATCTGTTTGTCAATAAAATCCAGATATAATTAATAGTTCTTATAAAATTCCCTTGAGGAAAGGGTTGAAATTTTTTTATTGTTTTGTTATTTTCTTTTTTTCCTTCCTTAATCAAGTTATAAGTCAAAACATTTAATTTTTTGTTTTTGAAAATTGCCTTGCTATTGTATTCCCGTTTATTTTTTGGATTGTTTTGTTGGAAACAATCTGATTATTTTATAAAAATGTATAGATTACTGGTATTTTTGCCATTAAACACTTAAGAAAAAAAACTTTATAAACAAACAATATTTTTTCTCTGAAACCCTTTTTATTTTTATCCTTCAACAGTTAGATTTTTTTTATTTATTTATTTTTTTAGTCAAATCTTACATCAAAATACATATTTCATGTAATATAGTTTGTTTAGTTTCTATTCTTCTGTTCAATATGTAATTTTTGTTAAAATACATATTTTTACATTTTGCTGAGTTTTTGATGTGAGCAATTATAACAAATTGTTGCTAGGCAATTTTCTATTCTTTTCTTGAAATTTAATACAAATAAATTATTGAAAATTTGTTATATTGGCATTTACAGGTTTATGTTACTAGTTCTTAATGGGATTTTTTTTTTTTTTGTAAATCCTTTTTCTTTTCCAAAATGTGCCAAAGGACTGTTAATATTTTTTCTAAGAAGAAAAAAAAATTATAAAAATAGCATTTCTAGTTAATATTATTGTTTAAATTATCATTTTAGAGTGTTAGTAAAGTCCCATTTTACTAAAATTCGAAATTAATACTTATCTTATCAACCATCAGAGGTATAATACTAAAAACATTATTGAAATTTTAGTTAGATCTATTTCTTTTATTGGCTCATTAAATACAGTACTGTTTTGTATATAAATGTTATTTTCAAGTATTTTATTATTTGATTTAAAAGATTTCATTAAAATAATTTATAAATACAGTAAGACTAAATTGAACTTGTTCAGATCATTGCCTATTTTGGTAAATTAGATACTTTAGAAACTCACAAATCCGAACTACAATCATGTTATTTGATCTTTACTTTCCTACGCTATATTGAGAGTCCATTCTAATGATTAACAAATTAAAAACATTTTTTATTACTTATTGTGATTCATATTCACGAGAATTATGAATCTAATGTCAAAAGCATTCTTATTAGTTTGATAGTATTCTTAATATTAAATACCATCCCCATTTTTTTCTTCTCAATTAAGCTATATCATGCTTTGTATAATTTTTGAATATTTCTTCTAACTTAACAAAGTCCTTATCACAAATTTTAAAAAAATTTATATTTTGTCTTTCTATTGTATTATTGACCAGATGGTTGTTTTAGTTATTCTATAATAAGTATTTTTGGAGAAAAAAAATTTTTTTTTGAAGAAAAATATCAGTATGGATTATCTGAAAATTCAGATTGCCAGTGTTCAGATTTGTAAAGTTGTACTTTATTTCTGTTGGTTCAGAAATATTTAATTTTTTAATAATTTTTAAGGAACTTTATCTACTCAAAAATACTTACTATAGTATCCTTTCAATTGTTAGACTAAATTAAATAATGATAGTTAATAAATCTTTTTCTGTAGATTAATCCTAAAAAAATATTATTTTGTTTTTGATACATAAATTTCTTTCTCTTACAGTTTGCCATAGGTACTCTCATGGATGATTATTTGGGTAAGTTAAAAAAAAAAAGAGTTCATTACTTTTAGAGATTATATTGCCTGAAAAATAAATTTTGTTTTGTTACATTTCAATTCATTTTTAACTTGTCCATTTACTTGTTTGTAAATTTCTCGCTTAACCCTCTTTGTTAAAAATTTCACCTAGTGATATCAATCGCAAATTGCACAAGAGGTTTATTTATTTTTTTTTTTTTTCATATTGATTACCCTAGAGCAAGAATTTTTACTTTAATAGAATATTTCACTTTAAATTCTGTGTTTTAGAAATGAGACAGTTTTACAAAAGTAGTTAGTTATTTGTCTTGTGTTTGTTGTAATTCTACTAGATTGCAATTTTAATGTTGTAAATCTACTAGAATGCAAGCAATTTATTTCACTTCCTCAAATTTGATGGGGAAAATAATTTTAAAAGCCTGAAATAATATAAAACAATTTAAAAGACAAAAAATAGTTCACTATTAATTGTTAAAATTATTAAAATATCTTCATTTGATATTCTGGAAGCAATTTATGCAAGTTGTATATATATATATTCTCTTAACTCTGATTTTGGGAGCATTTTTGAATCTTTTTTTGTGTTTTTTAAATATTGTATTACAAAAAAAATATGTGTAAATTCATTAATTGTAAGGTTAAATTTAAAAAAAATACTGTAATCGTCAGTATAATCTTATTTATATTTTTTTCATAATTAAATAATGCAATTGTAAAACTGTATTTGCAATCCCCTATTTATGACAGAAAGAACTCTTTTATCAATTTAATCTAAAGGATTATGGATTATAATTATATTTCTATGATATACTAAGCTATTTAAATGTTAATTTTTTCCCCTTTCTAATTTTGTTTGTAAATTGATAAAGAATTGTGTCTAACTCATTTGTATTTCTTTTTAGGTTTAAATTGACACTGCTGGTGGTATACTGCCATGTTTTTATCTGTATATTTGTTTCCTACCAAATTCTGTAAATAAAATACTTTTACACCTATGCTTATTCTTATTTGCAAACCTGTTAAAAACTTTATGAATTATGTACAGAAATTGCATATTTACATGAAATTTTTATAATTTTATATAAAGAGAAATTCTACTTGTTTACATTTATATAAACTTAAGATGCTCAGGTTGAAATATATATTTCAAAACTTAAAAAGTTGAGATAATACATCAGCTGTAGATTTTATAAATCACAAAATTAAAAACTTTTTCTTTAATATGAAGGTTTATCCTACAATAATAGTGCTCTCAGATTTTGACATTTAAACAGGAAACAGCTGCATTTTTAATTATTTGCTTACAGCTGGTACAAATGTTTCCCTTCCCACAAAAGTTTCCCTTCTAACAAAAATTAAGTTTTAAAAAAACCTATCATAGTTGTATCACTTAGAAATTACACGCATTTGCTTAGACTTGTTAAATTAGCTCAAATTCACTTCCAGTTAGACTTAATTCTGCTCATAAATAACTCAGGATGTCCTAATCTAGAAAATATCCTAATCAAAGAATTTCATACTCTATTCTGGAAGTTCACAACTTTGTGTGTTTCAATTTATTTGGCATTAAACTTTTTTTTATACAATCAATTATATCTCACAAAAACTTATTCAATAGTACTATCATTTTATTCATCAATTACGATATTTTCTAGCACATAAAACTACTCCTGAATTTTAATTTCAAAATGGTATTGAGTGTATTCAGGGTATTGTTAAAAAAAAGCTAATTAAATGTTAAATTTTGCTTTCTAAAAGTCTCAATTAAATATAAAAACTAATTTTAATAATTTAAACAAATTATACAGATTTTTAGCCTTATTTTTATATTAATAACATAAATTTATGCAAAAAATAAGAATTTTTAATGTTCAGGTCGTGCTCTGATTCTGATGTTGCTTCAATTATTTTATAGAGTAAGTAAATTTTTCCATGCTAAGTGTCAAATTTAAAAGAAAAAAGTATACTATTGTAAATATATATATATATATACTATTGTTTTAAAACCAAAATTAATGGAGGGGTTAAACGATTTTTATTGCAAAACTTTTTGTCAAAGCATGGCTAAATATTTTTGAAAAAATCAAAATACTGGTAACACTTTTTTATGGTATAGTAAGCTACCTTAAAGTACCATAATATTTTTGTAAATATTTCTGTTTCAGAAACTTTCACAAGCAAATATATAAATGTTTTAACTGTCAATAAGATATGGTGATCAGAGATAGTTTACTTCTCTTGAACTAAAGGTGGAAATTAGATGTTTTTACTATTAATACTATATATTTTGTTAAAATTAACCCCTAAAATCATGTTTTAAAAAGAAAAAACTTTTTTATGTAGAAATAAAACTACGAGAAATAAAAGTTTTTCTAGTGAAAATATGGCATAAACAAACCGCTAAATTAGAAATGAACTGCAGAGATGAAGGAAAAATAGGTTCAATAGGTTGTGTGATGCATAAAATATTTTTGACACAGGGGATTTTTTTAATGAAATTCTATAACTATTACACTACTAACAAATGGACTTAGGCATAGGACAAGGCATATTATACAATAAGGCAGACTTAAAAAGAGCATATTTTTTTTAAAAAAAGTATATGCCTTGTTTGTATAAAATTAAAAGTGTATCAGAGTATACTCTTTAACCTTTTGCAGTCGTATGCCTACTCTCAATTGAGCTAGCTAGTATATTAATTCCGACCAGCTTGATGCCCATGTATAAACTTAATACAACGGCAAAGGGTTAAAAGAACTTGGTTTCTGTAGAATTGCTTTTTCTCAAACTTGACGAAGGAAATAATTTTAAAATCATGACATTACATCAGAAATATTGCAAAACAAGAACTCAGATTAAATTTTACTTCTACCTAAAACATCTGCATGTATTTGTGCTGTAGAAGAAAAATGATAAATCGGTCATGGAAAATGCATTGTTTGAAAACGGAAATTAAACAAAATTTTCAGAAACATAATTTCACCCTTGATAAAGATTCTCTGGAAGCAATTCATGTAAGTTGGTTCATACTTTAAACATTTTTGTAATAACCCTGAATTTTTGTAATAACCATGAATTTTGTAATAACCCTGAATTTTTTTTTTGTAATAACCCTGAAAATCAATAACATTGTGAAGTAAATTAATTCATTTGATGAAGCATTATACTTTTGATCAAACAATAAGTACATAATAATTACTTATATTTCTACAAGGAATGATTTTTACACATTAAGAGTTTTATTTAAACATAAAAGAGAGTTTTTTTACAAATTGCTTTTGACAATACAGACATACACAACAAATAGAAGAATTTACAATTCCAAGATTTAAGTCTTCTTTTCCTCTGAAAAAAAAAATAAAACTTGTAATATTAGAAAATATTTAAAAGCAGTTAAAAAACAGGGATACTATAAAAAATATTTTAAATAAAATTATTTTTTAAAAAAAAATAATGGGCTTTAAACAAAGGAAAATGCATTTCTCTATTAAATTAAGTAGTTGGTGCAACTTAATAGTTTCTTCTAGAAAACAAAGGGTATTCTTTGGTTACCCAAGTGCAAGGAAATTTAAACATTTTTTTTTATTTTACTTTTTATAAGTTTAAATAAAATAAAAAGTTGGCGGGACTAACAGGAAAGTATCTATTGAGCCATTTCAATAATAGATGCAATTTTTGCCTTTGTGCCTTTTTATAAGTTGATAATGATTCCATTTGTTTTCAGAATAACAATAAGTTTTGTTTTCACGAGATAAAATTTATATTATACAAAATTCATGTTATTCAAACATAGAAAAATTATAGACTCAATATATTTTTGAAAAGAAATTAAAATTTCTGTAAAGCAATGTTTTTTTTTTCTTTTTTTAAATTTTAAAACAAAAATAAAATGCTTATATCCTTTTCCTTTAGTCTCAAAACATGCTATACTTCTCACGATCTAAGTTTATCATGCTTTTATACAAAGTATTAAAAAAAAGAAACTATTTATTAAAAACAGTATTTTATAAAATTTTTGTGCATATAGATTAGATTTTAATTATAGATTTTTAAACATATAAATCTTAAATAATATTACATTAGAAAGTATAATTAAATAATCAAGATATGATTTAAATAATTATATATTAAAATAGCAGTTTCGACAATAAATATAACTATTGCAATCTTTTTTATACCTTCTCTGCATCAAGTAATTCAATTAATAATTATGTAATTCATAGTACACTGGCTTATACACTCGTAAATTAATGATTCTTAAGACTACTAACAAAGCATGATGTTGCTTTGAGTTATTCAATGAACAAAGCTGTTTGGTAAAAAAGATTTATACCTTTTCCATCACAGGCAACTATTTTGACTTTATCAACTCTAATCAATTCCTGGACCTCACGAAATTCCACATCTTTTAAGACAAAAGTCCAAACATTATCACAAAACCTGTAAGTTTCCAGATGACCAGCCTAGCAGGAAAAAAAATTTAATTTTTAAGAGAATAAATGAAACACAGAAAAGGAAAGCCAGCAAATTTAAAATACAAAATCTAAAGAGATTCAGACATAATAAAGATGAAATTATGTAGAAGACATTGTATGAGACACAAATAGATAAGAAAAAGCAACCATTTCAGAATTAATTAAATTGAAAGGGTTAAGAGGTTGAAGATTCTTTTCTTTTTCTTTTTAAAGATCATTTATTTTTGCATTATTAAGCTCCAGTAAAAATACAATTCTACTTCATTTAAATAAAATGAGGATTAAACAAAAAAAAGAAAGTTTAAAATTTTAGCTGTACAGCAATTAATGTATATGAAAATAAAATCAATTGCTTTATGTCACTGAGTAAATTAAACATACTTCCTGGGAAAACTTTTTATTTATTTACTTTTAATTTTATTGAAATATTTTTTTTAAAAAATATGTATCTTAGATTTAAATATTTACACAAAATTAATATATTTTATCTTTAAAGGAATACATTAAAGAAATTTTAATTTAAAGATTAAGAGTCATGAATTTAAAATATATCAAAAAATAACAATATAGAAAAGAGAATTTTTTTCTTTTCATAAGGGATAATTTATTATTTCTTTCTTGGAGAATTTTTCTTTTAAGTTAAAAAAAAAACTAACTACAGTCGACTCGTGTTATAACGACCCTGTGATAGAACGACCAACATGATATAACGACCCTGTGAAGGAGTCCCAATTCACATCCATAAAAGATNAAACACGTGAAGTTGATTGTCATGGCAGTAAAAGTGTTTATAATGACTCAGAACTCGGTGATGATGTTAATAATGATGATTTTTATGTAGGAAAGGACAATAATACTTAAATGGGTAAAACAGATCGGAAGAAAAAATTTGACTTAATTTAGAATTGGATTCAATTATAATAATTGATTTGTCACTTTTATATTATGTATTATTTGAGCATAACTGTCCTTTTTATACTTTTTCAACAGTTTAACATGTTTAATTAAATGTTTTTTACAGCATTTAACTTTTGTAATAGCGTTTGTGATTAATAAATAAAAATTATTATTGAAAATATTAAAAAATATATGAAAATTAAATAAAAATTAAAAATATACATAAAAAACTAATATAAGGTCCGGGTGTAAAAGCCTGGACCTAAAAAGAGTAAAAATAGGAGATTTAAAGTAATACATATTAACAGAAAACACACAAAACAGAGATGTATCTGACAGATACATCGCGCCCGATGCAGTAAGTTTCGAGACGCGCCCGACGGAGTGTTAAAGATTAAGAGTCATGAATTTAAAATACTATATCAAAAAATAACAATATAGAAAAGAGAAATTTTTTCTTTTCATAAGGGATAAAAAAAAAACTAACTATAAGATTTCTTTTTTTGTCAAATTATTTAAATTTATCTTGACACGTTATAGAAGTTAAGAGTAAACAATGAAGTAACCAAAACAACACATTAAATTTTCCAAAAACTCGATTAAAAATACAAAGACAAAACACTTGATGTAAAACAACAGTTTCTTGAAATATAGGTTTGAAAACTTTCAAATTAAAATAAATGACAAGGTGCGTAGTCAAATCTAAGCACCTTTAAAGTACTTTTTAAGCACTCAAAAAATATTTTTAAGCACTATTTACATAACATAATGCAAAATAGTTTTCAAAGACTTTACATGATCATGATAAAATAACTAGTTTCTGACAAAAAATTCTTTTCTTGATTATATCAGCCACGGTAAAAAGATCAAGATTCTTCGGTTCAATTTCAGAGAGTGGAAAATGAAGTCTGAAATTGAGAATATCTTGTAAAATATAGCAGTTGCTCATGAGAGAGCAAGAATCTCACCGAACCCAGTTCAGTAGACGCACATACGGACTCTCAAGTATTTCATCAAACATGTAAGATGATTGGTGTGTTATCATACATTGCGGGCCGATGGTACATCGAAATAGATTCTGGTGGAATGATTTGTGAAAAGGCTGAATAGAACTAAGTGAAAACTACACTTTTGAATAATACGCAGTCAAAATCGACAAGGTAAAAGAAAAATTAAGTACTTTTTAAAAACACCCCATGAAAAAAGCACCTTTAAGAGCGTTTAAAAAAATGAGAATCAAAAGCAAGCACTTTTTAAAAACGTTACGCGCCATGCATGAGTAGTAAAGATCACTTTTAAGACTTTTTCATAAACCGTGAAGAAGAAAAAAAATTCCTTTTTTTAATTGATAAAGTTAATATGATTATAAGCTTTAACTTTTGCAAAACCTATTATGGCTGTTTGTTTTTGCAGAACATATTATGGTTGTTTGGATATTAAGAAGTAAACTAGCTACAATGCAATGTCTAGAATGTCAGAATCAAGAGAAATAAAAGAAGCACACATTTTTCATCTTAAGGTAGTAGCGCTGCTGAATTTTCTGCTGCTTGTCAGGAGAAAAGATTTCTGATTGCTGAAGTTGTATTTCATGAATTAGCTATGTGTAAAAAATGTAAATAACAAGCTCCAAACCAATAATTTTATATTTAAGTTTTACTTAAAGTTTAAATGAACAATATTTCAAATTAGGATTACTTTCATGGAAAACTTTTTAATTAGGTTTCAGAATTCAACGTCGTAATATACAAGCTGGATTATGATGGGGATTTTATCTAATTCATCGTATAGCATAGGGGTGCTCAACCTGCGGCCCGCGGGCCAAATGCGGCCCGCCAACCCTCGATGTGCGGCCCGCGGCCGCAATCTGAACAAAAGGGAAAAAAATTAAATATTTGTTTTTGAAAAATAATAAAAAAATTCGGTAGTTTAAATTTACACTTTTAAGTTTTTGACGCTCCCAATCTCAATCAATGTAGTTTTTCGATGGTTAACGCTACGGATTTCAGCATAGTTTTAAAAATCTCAATATTTTTAATACATCATTATTACGATTTACGAATTTTAATTACCACTTTTGACGCTTTTCGTATGTGCCAATTCCAATGACTTTCCGGTAGTTATTGCTACCCATTTTCAAGTAGTTTCTGAAATAGCGATTTTTGAAAGTATGAAACGCTTTATTTGTGCAAACTTCATGGAAAATCTAAATGACTTTAGATCCGTTCTTCAACAGTTATTGCTGCACATTTCCGCCCGGTTTTTAAAACTTCGATATTTTAGCACGATATTATTACGAATCGCGAGTAAAGAATCGCTCATTTAGATAACCATTTTTTGACATGGCTTATTTGTAACGATTTTATCGCAANCTTGGGTGTGTACTATCACTTCCTAAAATTTTGCCCATCTTTTTAGAATCACTCTGTATATAGCAATGTATATTCATCTCTTTAGGAGGCAAGATGTAGATAGAAAAAAATGCAGGGCATTATCTCCACAACTAGGAGAATAGGAGTTTATATACTAACTTTGTCGTATAAATTCTATTATCAATATCACTTAAATCTCAGCAAAGGTAACTGATTTTGCCTTAGATTTACAATTTTGCCATTTCAATGAATCATTTTGCCCTTTACATTTATTCTCATCTCCCTAGCTCTCCTTTGCTTCCGTATCCGGAAACAGCCCTGAATAGTCACACAAACTATTTCTTCTTTACCAAGCACAATCCTGTAATAGAAGTATCTGAATTTGTCTCCCAAAAGATTTTATGACATTAAAAATTAAGAAATATTTAAATCATACCTTAAAAGTCAACCTGGACTTCACTTTTTGCGCCAATGCAGTATTGATCACTTTATCAAATTGCAGGAGTATTTTTAAGGCCAACTGATGAGTTATTTGTCCACACTGAAAATGTGTAATATTGTATTAGAATTTTATAATAATGTGTTCTGCATAATAGAATATGCTTTGAATAGCATATTTTAATTTTAAAAAATCTATCACAAAGGGTGGGAGGAGTTATCTATAAATGATGCAGTTTTCAGGTCGATTCTGAACAATGTGTAAGACTAGAGTTGATGTGTGTTAGAGATGAAATTAAGTTGCTTAGAGAAGTTAAGGAAGAAACTAAATGGCTATGGAGTTGGCTTTATAATGTTTGATTAGCACTATACGAGATAGATCCAATAAACTGTAAATGAATTTTAAAATTTTTTTAATGGGGATATTTTAATGTAATATTTAGGCCTCAACATTTTTCTGCCACAGTATGCCACCACAATTGCCAAGATACCAGAGGGAAACTTCCAAAATTTCTAAAAAAAATATGTAGAGGTTTGCTAAGAGGTATACCGAGTCCCCACTATAATATTTTTTTAATTTTTTGATAGCTGAAATTTTGAAATGCTACAATATGTCTATTACTTTGGCATAGGTACCAATACAATCATTCCAATTTTAAAAAAATAGGTGTTAGACAAAAAGCCATTTTAAAGAAAATGAAATAAATCCATGTTAACTTACGTGCGTTTGCATTTTAAATTAAGAATAAAAATGTAATAAATACACGTAACTTACATGCGTTTATATTTTAAATTCATGTATTTACATTTGTTTTTTAATTAACATGCATATTTTTAAATACAGTCAAACCTCGATATCTTGAACTTGAAGAGAGAGTAGAAAAAATTTGAGATATCGAAAATCGCATGTTATCGATGGTAGAATAAAGAAAAATGCTCTTTACACACCTTATTTACTATTCCATATTTATTCTAAAAACATTTTTTACACTTTCATTTAAAAAAAGATTCAATTGTTTGCTTTAGAGATGTGTAAGAAAGTTTGTCTATAACACTTTCTAAGTGGACTAAGTGGTTTAAATGTCTCTTCTGACATATTCGGCTGCCTCTTAATAAATCTCCTTACAGTGTCCACTGCAGAAAGTGCTTGTTTGCAAGTAACATTGGGCTGTAAATCTTTGATTTCCTCATTCTCTTCTTCTGATAGTTCACAAGAAGCTTTCGTTTGAGCGATAATATCATTGTTAACCCACTGACCACACACTGTTATTGCATCATCTACGTTTACAAAGTCATGAAATTTCATTAGTCCGGTCAATCTGTTCCAATCATTTTCAGTGCAGTTTTAAGCAGAATTAACTCTATTGATTGATTGACTACTTTTGTGATCTTTAATGAATCCAGACTTCTTGAAGCCATTCATTATCGTAGAGGAAGACACATCATTCCATACCTTGTCAGTCATTCTTAAATTTTATAAATTTTTTTTTTTGGAAAATTTTTTTTAATTTTAGAAAAAAAATCTGCTTCATTTATGAAAAAAAAATTCAAGTTATGGAGGGATTAGAAAAAAAAAATCGTGAAATCAAGTTTTTTTTTAACATTGAGTGTATAGCAAATTTGAAGGGAATTTTTTTTCCTTTGAGATATCGAAAAATACGTGAAATCCAGGTTCGAGTTAGCGAGGTTCGACTGTAATTATAGATTTATTTAGGCCTTATTAATAATTTACTTTTCTCAAATATGGATTCAATATTATTGAGCATTAGCATACTAATCCGGTTTTAATGTTGTTTATTCACTATTGTATTTGGTGCTTGAGAGCTAAGTTTGATAATTTTTTTCTGCCATTAATTGATATTTTTAATTGCTAGGCTGAAAGTAAAAAAAAACGAAACTTTCACTGCTGTAGAGAATAACAAGAATTCTTACAATAATAAACACAAAAACTTCTTCATAACACACTACTACAATATATACACAATAATTTCAAAAGAAATAGATCTAAAAGCTATTTTACGCTTACTTGAATTAGCTCATCCAGTGATTCCTGCAAAGTATGGCCAAGTGTAGTGTTTCTGTATAGCTGATAACTCATTGCGTAGAATAGTAAAAACAGATTAGAATCAAATTTTAAATAATCAAATTCACAGCTTCGCTTTATTTTCTTGAAATTTGTCAGGATTGATTAAACTTCTGGCTGTCTATCTCTGCCCGACTAAAGTCTGTTAAAATTGGTAGTGACAGTAAATTGGAAATAGCTTAGACTGTGCTTTTAGCTTTGAAATATTCGTATTTTATAAAAGAATTTGTCAGAGGCAATTTTAATTGATTAAAATTTTTTTTCATGTTTTCTAGATAAATATTCAACCAAATATTCGAGAAAAATAATTTAAAGTAATTAATTTTAGATTAACATTTACATGTTTCAAAATGGCAGTAACTATATTCCCTTTTAAAATAAAAATATATAAAAAAGAACTGAAGAAAACTAGTTTTGTAATGATGAGATGACTGTATTAAACTGCTAGTAAACAAAATCACCGTATTAAACTATCTTTATCAACTCTGGACTATTACAAATTCTAACATGAGTACATCTAAATTTTCTGTTGTTCTTCTTTTAATTGTCATCTTTCCTGCAATTGTGTTTTCAAAAGGTGAATTGAGAGTTCTAAATGAAGATACGTGGTCTGAAATTATAACTGGGGAGTGGATGGTTGAATTGTACGTAATTTTATTATTTTCATTTAAATGTGTTAAATAATTTTTTTTTTAAAAATTCTATAAATATTTTGTGTTGATTGCCCATAATTGGGTAATTTATTTTGAAGACTTTAAGACGCATTTGAGTCTCTCTGCTTAGCAAAATCTATCCGCTATCCAATACAGTCTTTTAAAAAAAGGCCTATTCATTGCTTCAAAGATATTTATCATCCCCAAATCATAGGTTTTATTTCCTTCTTGTTTCAAACAATATTTCTTGAACTTCTTAGTGCCTGTATTTAAAAAGAAAAAACAATTGTAGTGTCCATTTTATATTCATCATATAGTCTAACAAAAATCTTCTATTGGGTTAAAAAAAAAAAGGTTTGTGTTGTCATTAGTTTACTTTTTCTAATATGTAGTATGAAAGAATACCTTTCATTATAGTCCCCTTTTCCATGTGTCTTTTTATTTTTTCCGCAGTGTTACAACAAAAGTTGAAAGTATACAGCTGTAGCATTAAAAAACCTCGTATTTAAAAAATGCACTATATCCTATTTTGAAATTAATTAAAATATGTGATAATTTGACTGAACTTTTCATCTCTCTGCAATTATACAGAAGTTCATTCTAAAATATTTCACAGATCACTGAATACTTAAATTCTTCCTTCACGATTTGAATCAGATTTATGGTCTTTCTATGATCTTAAAGGCAAGTTATGTATCCCTTCTTAGTCGTCAAGATTTTAAATTATAGATTGAAATTATATAACTTCAGTCTGTAATTTTCTTGATGTCCCGTTTTGTATTATAAATGATACTCTAGATGCCTTTGTTTAAAATAAATAACCCACTAAAAAGTTTTAATTGGGTAATCTTACCGCTTCAGTTTCTTGAGATTATTTATTTAATAAAATGTATTTAATTTATAAAATTTTATCACTTTGCTCATTCATGTGCAAATATTACAATAATATAATTGTTCGATTTATATTTGTCTTGTATATTAATTGTTATATTGTTTGGCTGTTCGATTTATGTTTGTCTTGTATATTAATTGTTATATTGTTTGGCTGTTCGATTTATGTTTATCTTGTATATTAATTGTTATATTGTTTAGCTATGCACCATGGTGCCCTGCTTGTCAACAATTGCAACCTTTATGGAAAGAGTTTGCCCAATGGAGTGATGACTTAAGTATTAAAGTTGGCAGTGTTGATGTTACAACTAGTCCAGGTAAATTTTGTTCATTTTTAGTATAACCCATTGTTGTAGTATTTTGTTGATACTCAATGGAAATACAAGCCTTAGAGCAGGCAAAAGGTTAAAAAACCATTATTAACTAGCTATATTTCATGTTTCTCCATTATATTTATGTACCTTGAAGGTTGGATACATCTGTAGGCAGGGTTTGTTGATTTAAATCAACTTGATTAAAATCACGATTTAAATCATGATTTAAACCAAATGATTTTTTTAAAAAAATCATTGATTTAAATCAACTAATTTTTTTTATCGATATATATATTGATTTTAAAAGTTAAAAAACAGTGTTTTAAATTTTTGATACTTTTATTATTTTCTTTTCTTAGTATTAAANTGTTGATGTTACAACTAGTCCAGGTAAAATTTGTTCATTTTTAGTATAACCCATAATTGTAGTATTTTTTTGATACTCAATGGAAATATGAGCCTTAGAGAAAGCAAGAGGTTAAAAAATCGTTATTAACTAGCTATATTTCATGTTTCTCCTTTATATTGCACCTTGAAGGTTGGATACATCTGTAACATCCTTTCTCATATCCTTTTTTACTTACTCACAGATTTTTATACAACAAAAAATTCCACACACTGATATTTGTACTAGATATTGATTATTCACCATATTTGCTAAATAATGCATTGGAAGATAAGTTTGATTCGTTTATTTACCAGCTCATAAAATTTAACTGAATTTTATATTGAGCTACTTATAGATTTTCATATACAATTAGAAATATAATATGTTATGTATAATTTATGTTATATATTTTTATATGGAGCTACTTATAGATTAACTTATGGTAAGAGTAACAAAATAGTAAAATAATATGTAACTGTAGAAATTATCATTATGATTAATTGTTTATATTTTCCTAGGTCTTAGTGGTCGTTTTATGATTACAGCTTTACCAACAATATTTCAGTAAGTAACGAATCAAATATTAAAATTTTAACTTGTTTTTCAATTACAATGAAACCTCCAGGAAACACCATCTCTATGTAGCAACCACTTCTGAGAGTCACAGAATTTTTTTACATGGATTTCATGTTGAAGAAAACCGTTAGGAGAGACCATTAAAACCTATCCCAGCGACTGGGCAAACCTTTGCACCAAATGCAGAAAAAGTCTAATAAGGAAACACGAGAAAATATCAAAACAAATAAGTAGGATAAAATGCATTCAAAATATTTGTGTGATTTTCTTATTTAGAGCTCTTTTTGACAATCTCTGAAAAAGATCTACAAGCTCATGACGCAGTCAGCGTACACTAAAGACGATGCTATCAATGATTTGTTTTTAGAGTTAAAAGTTAATTAAGAGGAAAAGATATTATTTTAGAAAAAACTAAGAATCTCAAACAAACAAACCTCTTCTCATTTTTTAAAGCTAACAAATTTTTAGCAAACTACTTAAACAAAAAACATAATTGTTCAGTTATTTAAAAGTACTTTTGCTCCAAGAAAATGACACTGAGTAAAATTAAAATTTTTTGCAAAGAATCATATAACTTTGATAACATTTTGAAGTTAATGGAAATACTCCTAAGAAAGACCAACCTCCATTAACGACCATTTTACTATCGAACAGAGAGTGGTCGATACCAGGAGGTTTCACTGTATATAAAATTATTGTGTCTTGTAAAAATATTACATTTGTTCTAATATGAAAATATATTTCTATGTATATAATTATATTTAAATTCCCTACAGGTTAGGAGAAATATTTCAGAGATCTAAAAGTTTTATTATGATAGCAGAAAAATATATATATATTGGGCTAACATTACACAAATTTTATTAAACTTAACTAAATTTAAAGATTACAGTTACAGAAAAAAATAATCTTAATTTTTATTAGAAATCTGTCTAAATATTAGTGATTACGATTAAAATTTTGTTATTAGCAAGCTTCTCTGCTTCATAAAAATCAAAAGCTATTTTCAGTCTTGTTCAATCAATGTAAACTCTAATTCTGCACCCGACTTACACCGACCACAGTCCTGGTGTAAATTATCCTCAATGTTAGACTGATCTTAGGTTAGAATCCTCTTGCCATTTAACTAACCTTTTCATCCTTTTCCTCTCAGTGTAACACAAAGGCGGGTTAGTTCCATCCAAAAGTCCTCCACAGGGGCAAATTTCTCTCAATACCTTGATCCATGAGTTCCCTTGTATTTTGAACTGGGTTCAAAATTATGAGGCTACAGAGTTGAATACCAGAAGTCGTAAACCCAAAATTGGTTCGGCTCTTCAACAACTGTTATAAAATAAATTTAAAAAATATATGTGAACTGTCATTTGATTGATGTGTGAATATATGTCTCATTTCACGACTATTCTTTATCTCAAATTGTTATGCCGTGAGTAAAAATAAAGGAATTAAATATCTTTTGTAAAGCATTTCTTCTATTTCAAATATAAAGAAAAAAGAGTAAGATATTAAGAGGATACTATAGAACTAGAGAGCTTATCTGGAATTCTTTTTACCCTGTATAAGTAATTTAAAATTTCAAATCTAGAAAAAGTAAGTTCCTGTAAATCTAGAGTGAGACATGCTGTTTGAAATACTGAAACAAAATTCTCAAAATAAACACATATTAGTAGACTTGTATAATATACACAAACGCATGAATACTGTTCGCAAAAATTTTTTTACTGTTACTAAAACAGAAGACCCGCCTCTTCAAAGAAAGTTTATCTTTTTTGAATTCCCGAGAAGAAGAAAAAAAATATTCATTTTTACTCTTTTTCCTAACAGTTCAAATGTGATTTAAAACTACTTTTTCATGATTTAAAATTACAAATTGTGATTCTGATTTACACAATTTAGCAAAAGATTTCCATGGTGCGTAGCGTTTTTAAAAAGTGCTTAAACATGCTTATTTTTGTTTTTTAAAAGCCCTTAAAGGTGCTTTTTTCATGGGGAGTTTTTAAAAAGTGCTTAATTTTTCCTTTTCGAAAATGAGATTTTTTCCTTTACTGTGTCGATTTTCACTGCGTATTATGCAAAAGCGGGGTTTTCACTCTGTTCTATTCTATGTTTTCACAAATCAGTCGACCACAATCTATTTCAGCGTACCGTTGGCCCGCATCATATGCTGGCACCCCAATCATGTTACATGTTTGATGAAATACTTGGGAGTCCGCTTTTGCGTCTACTGAACTGGGTTTGGTGAGATTCATGCACTCTCATGGGCAACTCTGCTGCATTTTGCGAGATATTCTCAATTTCACACTTAATTTTCCATCCTCTGAAATTGAACCGAAAAATCTCGATCTTTTTATCGTGGCTAATACAATCAAGAAAAGAATTCTTTGTCAAAAACTAGTTGTTATTTTATCGTGTGAAAACTATTTTAAATTTGGTTAATGTATGTAGTGCTTAAAAATGTTTTTTGAGTACTTAAAAAGTAGGTGCTTATTTTTCGTTGAGAGATTTGACTATCCACCCTGATTGGCTATGCACCCTAAGCAAAATTTCCTGATTTCTCATGGCTTACTCTAGGTTTCCCTGAACTAACTTTTTTCTATGTTTTATATTAGTTATGGAGGGTAAAACAGAACGATGAAAAGTTTCTCCCGTTGTTTAGTTTCTGCTTAATATTATTTAAGACTACATAAAGTGTTGTTTTCTTTCCATCTATTTGTTTTCTCTCAAAATTTTCCTTATTTATCTTGGTTTATTCAAAAAATTAATTTTTATTGAAAAATTGTTCTTATATGAACTGATTGTTTCCAAAACTTACAATCATTATAAAAAAAAAGGATGCTTCATTTCAATCGTGTGGTGGCAGTGTCTTTTTAAAAATAATCGTATTGAATGTATACAATATGAATTTAAAAATTTCCAATCATGTATGCAGTACTTTTAAAAGTACAATAATAAAAAAATAATATTATAACTGAACTTACATATTTTTCAAAATAGTCAATTTATCTGTCACTTTTCAATTTATTTATTTAAAGAAAAGTCTTTGTTTTGTAGATTTTAATTCCTTGAATTCGTTATAATCTTAATCGTTTCAAAACTATGATATATGCTTGTAAATTTTGTTTTTGCATAAATTTCTTACAATTTATTTTGTAAGATATCCTTATTTGTGTTGGTTGCAAGTAACTGTTATTTAACAACTTATTTTGGGATTTAAATGCATTGTAAATTAACGTACATTAAAGACAAATTAGAAAGAAAAAAATTTTGCAGTATAGCAAATATGTAGTTGATAATAATTATTGAATGTTAAATGTGACACTTTTAAAGATATCAAATATTTCCTTTATAATTAAAAACCTTAAAATTGTTGTTTTTGAACTCAGAATTTTCTTTAAATTCTTATCTAGTATCATTATAACAATACTAAAAATAGGAAAACATTCCATATTACTAATTCATTTATTGTAACCTATTATGTACCTTATCTTACATTTTTACCTTGCCTCATTACTTTAACATTCTGATAAAAAGAAGTAAGGAAAATTGTGTAGAAGGTCACTTTTTATCAAATTTTCAATGTCTTAGATCTTTTCATTGTATGCTTGGAAGTTAACAAGATCTTACGCATACTTAATGCTATGCAAATAAAATTTGTTTTTCTTTTTTTATTATTTATTTTATATTATTTTAAATAATTCCTTTACTTTTAACATCAGATGTTAAAGATCGGAAAACTTTATTTGTGAAATAAAGGATTGGGAGTAGTTAAAATTTAGTACTGCATTTACTTATTTATATTTATTTGCATACATTACATTAATCTTACATAATCTCTTATTTGTTTAAAGATAACATTTGAACTGTAGAACTTATTAGTATATGGAGGACAAAATCTATTTATTGTTCAAGAACTTTAAAGTATTTTTTGTACTTAAAAAATTAAATATCTAATATAATTTTTTGAATTAAATAAAAAATTAAGCTTACAAAATTTTGAGTTTTACTTTTAGCCACTTGAAGTCTTATTTTTTTCCCCTTGCTATAATATTTTTATTATTTTTTAGAATCCATTTATATAAATAAGTAATTTTTTCCTGTCAAAAAATATATTTTATAGCTTAAAAGCTAATGTTGGGAATTCAATAAGGTATTTTTTTGGTACATTACTTGTATTTCTTTTGATAATATTTGTTTGTGTGAACTTTTTGAACATTTAAATCAGTACAAAAAGGACGTAAAAGCAAGAAATCAATTTTTAATATTCTCCTACAGGCTAAGACAATTATAAAATGCTTAATTATAAAAATTACTTTACTCTATTCATTTTAATATCGGTTTCTAAAAGATTTTAATGAAGATTTAACTTCTAATATCTTTAATGATGGATATGTTTACTCACTAATTCATTTTGAAAAAAATCTGATTTTAATATAGAAAACACTTTTTTATAATTCTTTTTTTAGTTTATTGAAGGTATGGTGGTTTACTTTTTTTTTTTTCAGTGTTAAAGATGGTGTATTTAGACAGTACAGAGGAGCCAGAGACAAAGATTCTTTTATAAGCTTTGTTGAAGAAAAAAAGTGGACTTCAATTGATCCAGTATCTAGTTGGAAATCCCCTCAATCTCTTCAGATGTCAACTGTATCTTATTTTTTCAAGCTTGCCATATTTTTGAGAAATATGCACACCAGTCTAGTTCAAGATTTTGGAATTCCATATTGGGGCTCATACATTATTTTTGGACTCTTGACTATTTTGATTGGTGCTCTTCTTGGCTTGGTAAGCTGTGAAATTTCTTTCTCTCCAATATTTTTTTGTAATATTTCAAAAAATATGAATAGAGTTTTTTAGCAAAGTAATGTTCACAAGCATTTTTTGACAATATCTAGGGGAGAGTCAGGTAGCCCCACCCACTTAAGGATTATTGCTTATATTTCTGTATAATATTGAGTAATATTCAATATTTTTGTATGTTTCTATTGTTTTATCATTTAATTAAATAATGCAGAAAATATAAATCAAAAAAAGAATAGTTTAACTTAAAAAAGTAGAAATTTGAAAAAACATGTTTTTCTGCTGTTTTAAAATGTGTCGGGTAGCCCCGCCCAGTTACAAAAATTATGTTTTTTTTTACTGTTTTTTCAGGTGTAAATGAAAGTGACCAATGTATTGACAAAAGATAAACCTCATTTATCATTTTTATCACAAAATTATTTTATTTGTTACATATTTATATACTTTTAGTGAATTCTATCATTTAATAACAACAAATGTCATACTTTTTATTATTATTAATGTATATTAATAGGTTGTTGTTAAAAATGCATATAACATTCAAATTTGAAGCAATAAACTAATAATCTTTGCAACCATATATTTATCGACGAAATAAAATTGGACTGTGATACACGACATTCATGTGAGCGGGGCTACCTGAAATCCAATTTTTTTGTAAATTTGAAATTACTCAAACAATTTTTCACGTATAAACTTCTTTCTTTGTGCAAATTAAACTTAAGACTGCATACTTTAATGCTGTATGTATAGAAAAAATTATTTTTTCAGTATTAAAATGAAGTTTGATCGAAATATTCAACCAATTTTTCTTAATTTCATGACTACTGTATTAAATATATTTTCAAAACTATTGTTTGCCATATTACCAGCTGCATAAATACTTGAAACTTTGAAAATAATCTTTTTTAATATAACAATTAATGTCCGATGACCCATTGACTTGAAAAAATATTCTATACATATGAAATTGACAGTGGGCGGGGTACCCGACACTCCCCTACCTGTTGTAATTTGCCTGTTATTTGTTAAATTTCTAATGCTTGTTATTGCTAAGAAAAGCTATTTGTCCTTTTAACCTACCAAGCATATTTAAAAAATTCTTTACTGAAATGACAACTATTGCAACCGGAGGAAATACTTTTCAACTGATACCTGTTTACAGTGAATGGAAGAAAAAGTGTTCAAAAATATCAGATGTAGGAAAGTGCGCTAGATTACTTAGAAAATAAATAAGCCCTTTATAGTTAATCCAGGTGGTCAACTCACCAAGGAGTTTATGTTAGCTTTTTTTACTATTCTCCAATGTAAGGAAATTTTAATGTATGTTTCAAAATGGCTGAATATTTACTGGAAAGAAAATTTTCTGTCTAACATAAGATGGTTTTTAAATAGTATTACATAGTGCTGCTAGACAAACTTTACTTGTTTTAGTGATCAACTTACAAGATTGACAGATAATCAGGTTATGAGGGTATTACTCCTATATATTTTATCGAATAATTAAGGTCAACTTGGCAGACTTCATTATGTCTACTAAACTGCATAATTATTTAAATAGCATTTTTAGAATGTGCATACCTAGTAGTTCTTGAAGCAGTAATAATGACATTTGCTATTTTAGTTAGTTTTTCTTTGTCTAAAATTTAAATAAGTGTATTTATCAAAAGTTGTTACCAAGTTTCAATTACTAGATATCTTTAAATTGTTAAACAGTGAAATTTTTTTACAAACTGTGCATTAATTCAACTGAAAATTATAAGACTTAAAGAATATCTTACAAATTATTTGCTGTGATTTGAAGACAAAAAAGTGTCTTTATCAACCCCACTGGCACTGATATGTTGGTTTATATAGCAACAGGACAGCTTTTGTTTGATCTTACTAAGTGATTGCATGAAACAAGTTAAGGATTAATGCTTAACAACAATACTAATCAAAAAAGAAAGTTTGCTAAATATGCTTAGAACAAAATTGTTTTATAGTAAAGTTTTTGTTTTTATAAAATTCTTTAAAATCAAATGAAATCATTTAAAATTCTATACTATGCTCAAATGTCATAACAAATATTTCAATGTTAAATTTTTTAAAACTTTTTTTGTTGATAAAATAGATTGTGAAGTGCTGTAAATCCAAAACCAGCTTAATTTTGTAGCTGTAAAGCTTACGTGCTTTGTATTTTTAAAATGTAGTGTTTCGTTGCCATGAGTATGCAAATATTTAACTAAAATACTGATAAAGTCAATTGTATTCGATGAGACCTGAATGATACAGAATTTTGTTAAATAGATAAAAAATTTAAAAAACAAAGTTAACTTAATCCTGCTTATTTTTTAATTAAAAAATTTATCTTAATCACTGTGCATACGAAAATCAATAAATAAAAACTTGTGTTTGCTTTAACATTGCAATTTTAAGAGTGATATAATTTTTGATAGATTTTTGAGTGTATAAAAAAAAACTGAATAATCAAATGGTATAAATGTTAAAATGATAGTCTCTCATTCATTTAAATTTATGAAGTTAATTTATTCTTTAAAAATTTATTAATTAGCGTTCAAATTTCTTGTCATGGGATAGTTCAAAATTATATATTGATGTTTTAACTATGGATATTTATTTTATTTATGGGTGTAAAGTTCAAAGAAAAGAATACTTATTTTCTCATTCCCTCATATTGAAAAAAGGAAACTTTTATGAGGTATTGGTTCTAATGTTTTTAAAGACCAGTGAAAAAGTATAGTTTTGTTTTACCATTTTTTTAAGAGCAGTTAAAGACCAGTGTGCAGGCCCGGATTAACCTATAGGCACACTAGGCACGTGCCTAGGGCCTACGAAATTCAGGGGGTCNGACCAGTGTGTCTTTAAATATGTATATTAGATTTATTATTTTAAACATGATTCAGACTGAAATTATTATTCCTTCACCATGTCATCATTCCCTCGCCTTAATAATAATAAAATAAAAAAAATTTTAAACTTGATAATTTTAGTATTTAAGCATGACTACTATATTTTTCTTACCTAGTGTCTTCTTCTGTATCTTATTGCAAAAAATTATACTTTTCTTTTCTTTGCTACTACCTGAAAATAACCTGTTTGTAGAGAATAACCCAATTCTTATAAGTGCAAAACAACTCCTTCTGATTTCCACATAGTTTTTAAAATCAGATATTTTTAATACAATATTATTTGTTACAAAGCACGGATGTCTATTTCAGTAACCTTTTTTTTAAAAAAAAAAGAAAAGAGAGAAAGAAAAGAGTGATTTTCACAAGTTCCTCTTAAGTCCACATGATTTTTTTTAAAAAAGAAATTTCTTTTAGTTAGCACGACTTTGATTTATAAAATACAAAAAAAAACCGGAAGGAATAAGCATTTCTTCTCTTTCAAAATGCGAGAATATTGTCCTTAATATTACAATGTATATTCTTTAATATGTTTATTAAAAAAAATTGCATTTACAATTCTAAAAAATTATTATGATGATGTTGATCGCCATGACTAATATCATAACGATAGTTGAAGTATCATCATTGACGTTTAGCTGTTACATACACATCTTAATTTGGATGATCAAGATAACAATCTCTACATCAAGAAGTTTTGATTGCAAATAATATTCAAAGGTTGGGACTGGGAGGCCCGAAAGGGCACCCCCAGTCGCCAGAAATTTGAAATTGAAAGTTAATTAATTTGTTCCCAACAGACACTAAAGCATGGAGAAAAGATCCAAGGTTGGCAAATTATCGAAATATAACATAGCCAAAATAAAGCCAACCCCCCATAATCAGTATTAGGTTTGAAAATACTTTGGCGATCGCAAATTGCCAACAAGACTATGAGAATTAATATAACCATGTAAGTGAAACATTTTTGTGGTAAGAAATTAATAATAAAGAATAATAAATAGATTTTTTTTCTTCGATTAGTCGTGGCAGTGAATTAATGAGTCTACATTGGTATTGAAATAAAAAGTTAGCCGTTACATTGATCGATAAGAAAAGAATAAAATATTTTATGTTCGCTTTTTATGAAGATGAACTCATTGATTTAACTTAAATATAATTAAATTAATAATGATTAGAAAAAAATAAGTTATTAAAGAAATTTCAAAAGCTAGGAATCGCATGTAATGCCAATTGTGGCATCACAATTATATTCAGTTTTATTCAATGTATGTAGACCTTTTTTATAAACACAACGCTCTTTTATTATTACAAATTGGTTACTATTATATTAATTACTATTAAAAAATATTTTGCAGAATTTTGTTAGTAGTGCTAGATAGATTTGTCGCAGAAAGTCAAAAGAAATTTCTGACTCGGCTTCGTGGATCGAAAATTCTCAAGTGGTAATCTCATGCGCCAAGAGGACTCTCATGCGCTATCTTGCGTATTTTGTACTTAATTAACTCTGAATAAGGGACAGTTAATCTAGGAGATATGCCAATAAGATAAACACTCACCTTGTAATAAAAAAAGAACTTCAATATTTTTGCTTTAATTTACTTGTTTAATCTCATTGAGTAGCTATGTTAATAAATTTATTAAAATGCTTCAAAATATTGAAATGTTTCTGTGTATATTATTTTCAGATTGTAGTATGCATTATTGACTGCCTGTGCCCTTCAAGGATTGGTGGAGGATACCAGCCAATTCCAAGAAATTCTGACTCCTCAGATAAAAATAAGGTAACTTTGAGAACTTAATTCATCCAACTATAATTATAAGTTAAGTCTGGTTATAATCAAAGCTCTATAAAACTAAAAGTTTTACGCACACAGATATTAAACCCAAAAAATTGAAGAAAATGTTTTTTTTTCTGCACTTTTAATCTTCTTATTTGAAAATATATACCTGTATAAAATTGTGCTTAAACTGATGTTTTATGTTTGTCAGAGTTTCACATTAAATAGCTCATAAAAATTTTACTTAAATCCCATAAACTTAATTTATGTTCTCTTTTCTACTAAATGCTATTATATTCTTTGTCTTCCGTTATATATTTTTTTAAATCTTTTTAAAGAACAATAAGTGACTGATGAAAGTAATCTTTTATTTAATATAAATTTTTAAAATATCTATCAAATTTTAAAAATTATTTACTGTCTGCTATCTTAGTGTGAGGTTTACAGTTGCTTTAAGTTTTTATTTCTGTCAAATGTTGCTAATTATATTTTGTAACTTTGTCTAAATATATGTGCCATATTTATCGGTATATATTTTATGGTCGCTGATGTATTGTACAGCTGTTTAAAACATAAGCCTTTCTATGAAGACAGGAGTTTGCGATGTTTATCTGTCAGTTTCCAATTTTTGACTTATTCATTGTCTATCGTGAAGCAAATTGTAAATGCTCAATCTTGAGTTATTCAATTTCTAAAACTATCAGAGCCAGAGTGTCCCATGTTGAAAACGTCAAGAGTACTATCAATATGTTCAATCCCCATGTTCACCATTAATAATATTCTGTATTTAAAAAGCATTCAGCACCACAAGTACTTAATGACAAAAAATTTCCAAAGAAATTTACAAACTCACACAGTTTTCACTTCAAGGTCAATAAAATAATCAATTGTAAAAGGCAACCTGTTTTTAAGCATTTTCTAGTGTATTTTTCTTAACCATGGCTTTTATTTTTGATAGTTTAAGCATGTTTAAGGAGCCAAATGATTATGTCCGTTTGATTATTCAGGAGCTAATTGCATAAGAGAGTTCCGTTGCAAATTAATTTTGTATCTTGTATTGGCAGAGATGATTGTGCTCCGGAAAAAATCCGGATTTCCAGATTTTTCGCTAATTGTGATCCGGAAATTTCTGAAAATCGGAAGTTTCAAGAAATCATCGATCACATTTATGTATGAAAATTTTTGGACTATTTATTTAAAAGTATTAGATCTAGAATTTATACTTGGCATCTCTTTCATTTGTAAATATTTTTTTCTGTTGGAATAAGAAATGTGATAGAGGTAAAAGTAAAATTATGCATAATTATTAATTTAAATTATGCTGCATATCATTTATTTTGAATTTCATGTGAAAATATCAATGATTTAAATTTATAAAGACATTAATTTTGCGAAATGCGTCATTAATGATTTTATTCAAGGATTTTTTAGTTCGGCTCACAATCACCCCTCTATTGGAATAAAAAGTAAATTTGGATGGCAAATGAAAGTCTATATATTGGTCTTTAAAAAGAAAGGATCTCTGCAATATCTGATCTTTCTAAAGAACATAGAATGTGCATTCATAAATACAATTCGAGTAACTTTCAATTAACAAATTTTAATTTTTTAATAGCATGAAAGTGATGGAGAGTTTGAAGCAGAAGATGTAATCAGAGATGATAGTGAAGACATTGATTTAAGACGAAGAAGAGAGCAGCGGAATGAGGAATGACAGAAAATTACGTGACACCTAATCCATCCGGCATTATTTTTTAATTGCAGCATGATGAACTATACTTTGCTGTGTATCTTTCAAATGAGTATTTTTTATACAGATTTATTAAATGTAATGAAATTTAAATGAATTGTAATAAATCTGCTTGTAGTTTGATTTGGTACAAAACTTAATTTTATCATTAGGACCATAGTTTTTATTATGTACTACTCTTGGTGCTGAGCAACTAATGCAATAAATATTGTAAGATTTTTTAGTCGTATCTAACCATGAAATTCTTTGTATATTTGTGCATTGTAAGAGTATATATTGTTCCTATACGATGTGTTACAGAAAAATGTATATCAACCTAAATATCGTTCTATCTAAAACTGAAATCATTCAAAAATATGTGAATTTATCCTGATCAATTGTTTTTATTGAATAATGTGAGGAGAAACTGATTTTGTTGCAGGGAAACAACCAATTTAGAAAAGGCCCAAAGTAATGCTCAAATGTTGTATAAAATGAATAACTCTCACTTTATATATATATATATATATATATANTATATATAGATGTGACAGAAAAAAATTTATAAAAATGTATGCCATTCAATCCTGAAATTGTGTTTTATCCATAAATAAAGAATAATTTTAAAAATATCAGAAAACTCTTAATATGTTAAAAAAATCTTAAATCATTAAGCAACATATTCAAATGCTCAAAGTGTTTAAACTAAATTTTCTTTACAATATTAAAAACTACCTTTATTTAATCAATTATTTAACTATTCCTAAAAATGCAGTAAAAAATAAATTTAAAATTCTCATCCAACTAGAATTTATACNTTAAAAATATCAGAAAACTCTTAATATGTTAAAAAAATCTTAAATCATTAAGCAACATATTCAAATGCTCAAAGTGTTTAAACTAAATTTTCTTTACAATATTAAAAACTACCTTTATTTAATCAATTATTAAACTATTCCTAAAAATGCAGTAAAAAATAAATTAAAAATTCTCATCCAACTCTTAATTTTTATTTACAAATAATTAGTATTGTTTTATCCTTGAAATAAGTTTTATTTAAAATGATTTTTTTTTTTAAATTAAAGCTGTTTATAATATCATGAAAATTTTAAACCCTTAAGTAACATATTCAAAACTCTTCTGTTTTTATTTTTTTTCCTTTATTATTATTATATATTTTCTTAAATTTTAGTAGTGTAATATATGTTTTAATTCTGCTAAAGTGCTTATTTTATAATTTCAAATGAACAGTTACAAAATTAGTAATATTGTGCAATTACTTTTTATATCTCTTTTTTTTTTTTAAGATGAGGAGTCATTAATTTTAAGTTGCTTGTTATTAAATTCCTTTTTCTTACAGAATTTTAATTATAAAATCTTGTACCTATTAAATGCTAATCTTTGATTAATGCAAAATTAGTATCAAGATTATGAACGGTTTGTTCCCTGTTTTGGATTCAGTATTTTTATATTGTTATTACAGCTATTTTCTATGTTTCCAGTGATCTGAAGTGTCAATCAGTTTTATTAATATTTTACCTTTCCTAAATCATTGTTATTTTTTCAATTAAAAAAAAATATTTATTCTTTACAAAACACAAATGAAAATTGTATATTTGCTCAAGACGTTCTATTTATACTGATGATACAACGAGTATTATTTGCTTATTTTCTTTAAACTTATAATAAATAATTTTAGCAATATTTGATAAAAATGACGCATCCCTTGAACATTTGTTTGCAACAGTAAAATAAAAGTTGACTGATAAGTAACTATGCAATTTTAATGTTGAAAAATATTTTCTAAAGTATCATATTTATAGAAAAATAAAAATTTTATATGTTTTATTTTTAAAATATTACGAAAATTTGTTTCTTTCGAATGTTTTCTGAAATTGTTTTTTAGTGATAATATGAAAAAGTACTTTGGTTGAAAAATAAATGACTTCAATTTCTTGCCCAAATTTCATGAAGTCATTTCGCCTATATTTTGGTTTGTGATATTTTCTAATCATTAACAAACTCTATTTTTTACTTTTATATGAGTATTGTGTTTGTTATAATCTTGTATTTCACTTTAATTCCAGAACGTTTGTTTGTGTTTGTTGTATTTTTAGATTAAAAAAGTTAAAGAAATTTGAAGAAAAAAAATTATAATTCAGTAATTGAAAATGTATTTCTTATTGGCATACAACATTTCAGAGGTGCATTCAAAACAATTTTGGTTATGTTTGTAAATGTTTTCAAAAATTTTGATTATGAAAAACATATCTTTCCCAAAATTGCATTAATGAAAAACAATTTTTTAATCCTCAGAAACAATTCTGTTGGGAAAAAAATCATGTTTAAAAAAGCGTTGTTCAAAAAAATTGGCTAAAAAAGGCCCATCTTTTTATTTGTCACAATTTTTCATTAACTGATGCTTTTTCATTGCAAATCGATTGAATACTTGTGCCCTTTTTTTAAAAAAATATATTAATAAAATGAGTATGTGTGAAAGTGGAATGAGTCTGAGACTTTTAAGGGTTGATGTTTAATGAATTTAAAGATATTGGCAAAGATTATCAACTTGAGTGATTTTTTTTAACACTATAATTTGATGAAAGACCAAAATCTATCGATGATTATTAAATCGTAAAAAAAAATAACTGATTTTTTCCATTTTCAAAAATAACGGCTGCAAGTCCATCTTGCATTGCAGTTTTCATTAAAATGTATTAAATCATCTCATGATGGTTGCCTTTAAAGCTAAAGAGTCCCCACTTCTAATAGTACAAATGGTTTTAGTCAAAAATGTTTAAATAATTTTTTTCCCACGAAAAGTATCTAATATTTTACCTTACCTCATTTGCCCATACTGTTGAAATCTTATGTATGATCCCATTTTTATGTTCAGTGAATGAATTTTATTTTGTATGTGTCCATTGTTTTGTCAAAAAAATCATTCAATATTTTTTTGATGTGATAAAATGTCTTAAAAACATTTGTGTATTTAGTCAAAGTAAACTTGGTTAGTGATCTTTCTATTAACTCTAATTTATTATAAATGGTTACTTTCTTTAGTCTCAAAACTGTTTGTGTAATTATATTTCCGTTTCATTTGACACTTTTGATAAATTATGACGACTTTCAAAGTGACTTGTTTTCTCATTGTTGTCATGAGCTTGTATGTATATGTGATGAATGAACATTGTTTAACCGACTTGTTTTGGAAAGTTATGTTGAATAAAAAGGTCATTTTGAGATCTAGCCCTTTATTTTTAGCTTTTCAGATACAGTCGATGTTCGATATAACGAATCTCTTCAAGGACTTAATATCGTGAATTAACAAAATACCGTAAATATTAACTCACAGCTAAAAAAAAAATTCTTCATAAATTTTTAAATAAAAGTAATGTTTTTGTAAGAATTAGGTGACAGAGAAAAGGATTTGTAATAATTAAATTTTTTTTTTTGATATTTTATTAATATACTTTGAAATAATACGTCATTGGTGAAAAATACATTAAAAATAATATGCTGGTACGTGGCAGTCGTTATTGACAAATAACATAAGTCAAGATATATGCAAAAACCACACGTTTTAAGTCGAAAATAAACTCTACTGGGAGACGGACATTTCATGATTCTGACTCATCATTAATGATGTCCAGAAGAATCATTCTTTTCGAAGAAAATGTATCCCATTAGCATTTTATTATTCTTATAATATCAGGAATCAGGGGGGGGGGATATTTAGTAATCTAAAAATTTCTTTATTTCACGCTTGTTTCTTAAAAATTTTCTTTATTTAGGAAGTTAATCTTGTAATGTTTTACCATATTTTGAAATGCTTCAAAAAGAAATGCTTAACATAATATCAAGTTCACATAATATCAATTTTTAAAACTTTTTCAGCGTTTGAAAAGTGGCCACTGTTAAAAATGCTATTACTAGCCACTGACAAGTGGCAAAATTTCCTGACTTTGCTCTACCAATCACTTTCACGACATCAATAAGAGGGCCTTCAATATTTTTCCTTGGCAAATTTTTGAATATCAGGTTTTGACTGTGACAAAGCACACTTAAAGCTAATTAACAGCGTTATTTAAAGACAAAAATAATAAATAAATCACGCTATCCTTCTATTCTTTTGCACACCCAGATTGAGAACTGCAGATCTAGTGGGAATGATGTGCATTTCCCTTGGTTATATATTAATGTGTGATCCCTTATGTGCAGCGTGCGAAAAACGAAAAGGAAGGAGCAACCTAAATAACTTTTTATCGAATGATCGGATTTTCCTTTATTTTGAATCAAACTTAATGGTTAACGAGGGTGACACAACCTCAAATATGCTAATAGTGCAGACGATATTTTAAGTTACGAAATCAAACCTAAAAACGAACTTTGAATAATTGAAAAAATTTTGTACACAATTATAAAATTTGTTTATCCAAACATTATCTTGTTATCTAAACAAAAAAAAAGCGAAAATTAATTTTTAATATTTATTATTTTACTCAATAATAGTTTGAAGAAAAAAAATTTTGAATTATAAGGTATTCAAATTTTTATATAATTTTGAATGTAACTTTAGGAAACCAAATACAAACAAACTTGTACCGAAATCGGTCGAATAATTCCTCAGAAATCGAATTTTAAAAACGTCGTATGTTTAAAATTTGATTTCTCAGGAACTGTACTGGAGTGCTATTAAAAAAGAGACTACGTTCAATGCACTCATTAGCCACTGAATCATTCTGCAACAAATGGTTCCACTTTGTTAAAATTGTATCCAGTAATTAATATTGTTTTACACAATCTCCTTAAAAATTTCATGACTTTTAAACTGGATTCCTATCCAATTGTTACTGTTTAAAAGATATCTGAAGAAGTTCAAGCAGTTTTTTTTTTATATAGTTCTAATTGAAAATTGATTCATGGGCATAAATGTTCCATTAATTGACCTTTTAAAAGTATATTATTATTGTTTATTTATCAAATGTCAGTCGTTTGGCCATAAGACAACGGGTCTTCAAGATTTTCCCACTCGACTAGAGCAAGCAGATAATACTGGGCAGGGGCACTCTTCCAAAATGTCGATGTTGAGGGTAATGACATTGCAGACTCCTTGGCTAAGAGCGGAACTGATCTGCCCTTGC